GATAGAGGCTTGAAAATTAAAAGAGTGAGCACGGGGGCTCGAAAGATTGATAGAGGCTTGAAAATTAAAAGAGTGAGCACAAGGGCTCGAAAGATTGATAGAGGCTTGAAAATTAAAAAAGTGAGCACGGGGGCTCAAAAAATTGATAGAGGCTTGAAAATTAAAAGAGTGAGCACGGGGGCTCAAAAGAATGATAGAGGCTTGAAAATTAAAAGAGTGTGTAATGATGGAAACAATGTTGATGCCAAGTAGATATTAAACTTCAATAAATGTGTTATGCAAGTACATTACTTGATTACATGTGCATGATAAGTACCGAACTTTGGTACAAATGTTGTGGATGCTAAGCATGTATTGAACTTGAATGCATGAGTTAGGGATGGACCATACTTTTGGTGATGCAAATGACAAGTATGCATTGGGCTTGAATGAATGTGTTAAACAAAGTATTAGACATTAATGTGGATAAGGTGGGTGTTGGACAAATATTGGACTTGAATGGATGTACCAAACTATGATGTAATGAATGTCAAACATGTGCTAAACTCAAACGTAGATGATATAGATGTCAGACAAGTGCGAGACTTTATATGCAAGTGATGAATTTGAATGCATGCATTAGGAAAATACCAAACTTTGATGCAACTAAGTGGATGCCAAGTGAGCATTGGACATGAATGAACACTTCAAACATATTAATACAAATGATGTAATACTTGATTCGGTGTTGGGATGCTTATGAGGTATTATTGACAAGTTTCATTTTGTTTCTCTTTTTTTTTTCAAAGAAAATCATAAAATGATTATTTTCTTTAGAGAAAGCAAATCCATGCAAAGCCCTTTCACCCCTTTTTTTTTTTTTAAACCATGAAATTATGTTCTTTTCTTCTTTGTCAATCGTTGAAAAATGATCTCACAATTTATCATTTCAAGCTTATCCCACCTAGAATCAAGTGAGACTCATTTGGCCTAACTTATCAATTGAACGATTACCATCTTGTCATTTCTTTTGAAACATCATTTAACCAACATGCATAACAATGATAAATGATTTTTTTTTGGAAGACTATTCAAAAAAGATATTTGAACGTGACTTTATTTTGATGTAGAGAAAATAGAGCAAACTACACCAAGATATGACAAGAATTGAGAACCTGATGGAAACAAGAGATTGAGCAATTGCCCCAGTTTGATGTCAAATTAATGGAGTGAAAAGTGGAAGGATTTAGACTAACTTGGACTTTGAACAAGTGAGACAAATGATTTACATCACTTTAGACTCGAGTGGATAGAATCAAACAGTGACACATATGGGAAGGATAACCCGTATTTAGAATGGTGGAATATGGATGATACAGGCATTGACTTGATTAAAATTGAGACACATGGATTATATGATTGGAATGAAAATGTGATGATAGTTGAGAACTTGTCCCAGTATAAAAAGAGTACTTTGAGTTGCCCCAATTTATAAAGAAATAGGGAACAAAGTTGGATTAGACAATTATTCCAATCATAGGCTAAGGTGATGAAATGACGATGAGATCTTTTGCCTCAGTGTGAAGTGGTTGTTCCAATTTAGTCTTGAGAGGCAGGGGTAGAGTAGGAGACAATGATGAATGTGATTGCTTTGTTTTCTGATTCAAGGAAATAACATTGATGTATGAATTGATGGAAGAATGAGACATAAAACAAATGTCTCATTTAATTGGGTAAGGGGATCAAAGTAAGGCATGACTTGTATTTTTCCCAATCTATCCTTTTGAGTGATTTTCATAATTATTGAGCATAGTAATCAATGAATATTGATAAATAGAAGATTTTGCACTAGATGTTTGTTTCTCTTCATGATATAATGGATGTGCAAGTCTTATGAGCATTTGTATTTTTTTTTGAGCAATCGTGTTAACAATGATAGATGAGTTCAATTGTTTTGTCTTAAGACTAAACTTTTTAAAAAAAGCAACCAATTTTTGATCTGTATGGACTTTATCGAGTTGTAACATTGGTCGGTGAGATGGATACAAAGGCCCAAATGTGTGTTTGAAGGTTATTTGAAACAAGGATTTTTTCTATAGTGTTGGCTTCAATGTTTTATTCGATTTCTTTTCCTCGCCCCTCTTTTTTTCACCCCGAATTTTGTCTAGGTTTTTCTTTTGGAGTTTGCAGCCTACCATGTTGCTCTAACTTTTTCCTAGGCCGCCTTTTTGAGGTTTTCAGCCTAGCGAGCTCTTGATTTTTTTTATTTGTTTTCATCTTTTTAGACCTTAACTTTTGCCTAGACCGCTCTTTTCGATTTTTCAGCCTAGCAGGTCGCTCTAAATTTTGCCTAAACTGCTTTTTCAGGTTTTCAGCCTAGCGAACTTTTTATTTTTATTATTATTTTGCATAGAATTTCTTGACTGCATCAGACTTTATTGGGTTCAATAGCTCTTCCCTCTATGATCTTTTTGAGGTGGTAAGATCTTCAATACCACATCTCTTTCTAGAAACTCTTGCGGACAAACCTTTTTGGTAAAAGCTCTCTTGATCTTTTTTTGATATAATTGACCATGACACAAGACATTCAATCTCTTCTCTTCAATTAGGTTCAACTAACCATAGCGAGTTTGAACCCATTATGCTTCCTCAAGTTTGCTTTCGGCCAATACTCTCAAAGAAGGTATCTCAACCTCAATGGGAATGATTGCTTCCATACCATAAACCAGAGAATACGGAGTTGCCCCAGTAGAGGTGCGGACAAAAATGTGATATCCATACAGAGCAAAAAAGAGCATTTCAGGCTAATCCTGGTAGGCGACCACCATCTTCTGAATAATCTTCTTTATATTCTTATTTGCCGCTTCTATTGCCCCATTCATCTTAGGACAACATGGTGAAGGATTGTGATGTTGAATTTTGAACTCTTCACACAACTCTTTCATCATCTTGTTACTCATATTGGTCTTATTATCAATAACGATGTGAATTGATAGACCATCAAAATAACAAATTAAATCTCTTTTGATGAACTTGACCACCACATTGCTTGTCACACAGGTATAGGAAGCTACCTTAATCAATAACAACAAGGATGAAACAATGGCCTTTTGATGCTTTTGGTTCATTTCTCTTCTTTTTCATTTTCATTGTTTTGATGGTATCATAAACAAGCTGAATTAAATGGGAACATTGTGTTGCCCCTGTTTTGAGGGTGAGTCTTGTTTGAAGTAGTTGAAGAAAATTTTCACTTTTAGGCTCAAATTTGAGTGGCAAGTGATGGTCATACATCATTTCAAATCTTGACTGCTTATTTTTTAAAAGTTAATCCTAAGACAAAACTTAATGAACTCCATGTTACTCCTTTTCTTTTTATCTTTTTTTTTTGTTTGTCCTAACTTTTGCTTAGACCACCCTTTCGGGTTTTCAGTCTAACGGACTTTACATTTTTTCACTTGTTTTTTTTTTTTTTTGCTCATAGGACTTGTCTCCATTAAATGTAGTAGTTGGTGGGACAAATACTCATAAAATGATAAATTTGCCCCAATAAGAAATCTTCAAATTTCTATTGTCAAACTTTCTAATTGAGAATCATCCAACAGACTTGACTTTTATGAGGACAAACTCTTTATTTTTTGGAAGAATAATGAGGAAACTATGAGATGTAATGGGACAAAGACAATTTATGACAATGAAGATAACAACACAATTTGTTATGCAAGTTAATGAAATTGATACTTAAAGGGTTAACAATGGTTTTCAAACCATGTCAATTGACAAGTTAAATTTTCAAGGAGCTCATCTTCTCGATTGAGAATTAAATGTAAGTGAGAACAATAATTTCATGTTATTCCCCATTTTTCTTTGTTTCCTGTTTTTTCTTTTTCTTTTAAGACATTGCATAAATTTGTTGCTTGACATCCTCTTTAAAAGAAAATAATCATATTAGATAGTGTTTTTTTTGTAAATGACATGAATGAGCAATCACTTAGACCTTTATTTTACTATGAAATGCATGTATATAAAAAATGTTGGAATGAAGAATTTGAAATGAAAAAAAAATGTTTTTTTTGCTTTTTTATATTTTTTTTATAGAGAAACAAATGCATTTGATTTGCGATGATAAAGTGAAAATGAATGCAATTATGGAGAATGACAAGAAAAGACGATATGCCTAATGAATATACCTAACATGATTATTTAATCTAAATAATGCTTATGCGTGAATGTCATGAAAAATTATAAAAATATTGAATGTTATGAGATACATTTTAGACTAAATGCTCAAATGGAATAATGATCTTACTTTGAATTATGCAAGAGAGAATTGTATTCATTTTCTTTAAGAAACAAGTGTCAATGATGATGACAATTGCAATCTTTTAGAGTTGTATGAATGATTTCATAAAGTATTATTTTTTTATGCAAAGATGTAAAATGCATATCATGAATGAATTATGTAATGTAGATGAATGCATGCATGAATAATTTTTGTGATGTGTGTTATATTGAAGGGGTATGAGATATGACAAAAGTTAAAAAAAAATGTATGATGTGCATTATGAAATAGAATAAAATTTTCTCTTCTTTTTTTTGCGTCGTTCGAACGTAGAGGAAGAATTTGCTCGTGTGATACTTAATAAGGGCATCCCTAAATTGAGAACTCTATGGGCTACTAATATGTGTTCCTCTCAGAAGGGTGAGACTATAGTTCTAGCACAGGTTCCTAGAGCCAATAACCCTTCTTAGGATATTAGTCACAATAATAGGTAAACTATTAGAGATGATAATACCCTTGAAAGGATCAAACTCTAGGTGAGGCCTTCATAATAACCAAACAAGATGTTCATCAAGAAGGTTACTACTACTCAACCTCTGACTTATCATAAGATGCACTCAAGTCCGGGCGTAGGACCCCACTCATAAATGTTTGTGAAATTGTGCAAGTGAAGTGTGTGAAGGGAGCAATCCTACACTATCCAATCTACAAAACACTACACATATGATGTAGAAAATAAAATTCTTCTACACTAAAGTTCAAATTACACAATGTATATTTATAAATCAAGCAAATAATACAAACAACAAATAAGAGACATAAACAAAAAAATAATTAAAATAAAATAAAAGTGAGATAAACATTTTTTTTTAAAATTATTAATTAATTTAACTAATTATTATAGGCTTGACTCTCAAAAATAGTCCCCAGCGGAGTCGCCATCTGTAGCAACCTCGGTCGCGACGGGACAACGAAAAATAAATTGAAAAAGAGGGAGTCGCCACCAATGTTGTTTTTTTACGGAAAAACATTGGAAAAACCATAAGATAGAAAATAGCCTACGAAAACCAAATTTTGAGTTCGGGAGTCGATTACGTGTGAGGAAGGTATTAGCACCTCACAACGTTCGTCCTAAGACGATTACCTTTAATTAATTAAACTAATTATTTATAATTTATAAAATATTTATCTCACTAAAATTATCAAATATATTTTATTTAACTAATTTAAATTATGCATTTAAAAAAAGGTTAAAATTATTATTGTTATATAAAAAGGAGGATAATATATTTTTTATTTTTTGGCTCGACAAGATTTATTTCTTGCTCCTACGTATCTTCATGTGTAATGAAGAATCAGAGTCACGTAGTTCTTTGGTAGAAAATATTTGTGTGTTGATATTTTTTAATTAAATTTTATTTTTGTTAAATATAGGATTCTTGAACTGTCTCAGCTCATTCACCCTAAAAATATAAAATTGACTAAGGTGTACACCAAAGTCAATTCAATAAAATTTTAATTATAATTATTGCTAGAGATGTTATGATATTAAAAAATTTATTAATTGGACATTTTCGTTTTTGGAGAAAAAATTTAAAGATAAGCTGTCACAACTTGTACTTTAAATTCAAAGGTTAAAAAAATGTCACATCTAGTTAACCATTCCTCCAATAAAATTTTTAATACAATAATTTCAGATATTTACATTAAATATTGTAACATTATATTTTGATATTTAATCACATTTTGGATTTAAATAAAGACTAATGACAGATATTATTAATATAAAAAATAATAATAATAAAAGAAGTGAGTTCGATGTACTCACAATTCTTTGTGACAGAAGTGGTAACTTGCTAGTCTCTTCCTTTGGGTTCTCTCTGGTCCAAGGTGGAGATGTGTGGGTTTGGGGTGTGTGTAGTTGTGTTTTGGGAAGGCAAGGTCCGCTATTTATAGAGTTTCAGGAGGGACCGAAACGGCCCGTTCTGAATCCGGAACGGCCTGTTTCGGGGTTGCAATTTTACTCACAACGGCCATTTTCGGAATGGGCTGTTCCAATTTCGGAACGGCCCGTTCTGGGCTAGAATATAGAGGTCATTTGGTAGTTTGGGAATGGCCCGTTCCGGGCTATAAATTATAGTTCTTTTTTGAAGGTTGGAACGGCCTGTTCCAGTTTGGGAACGGCCCGTTCTGGGCTAGAATTTATAGTTATTTTTGGAAGGTTGGAACGGCCCGTTCTGAATCCAGAACGACCCGTTCCCGCCTAGAAATTTTAGGGCTTTTTCTGAAGGTTGGAACGATCCGTTCCAGTTTTGGAACGGCCCGTTCTGTGCTTCTAAAATCATATCAAAATTACTAAATTACCCTCCATAAAAATATAAAAAATGAGGTGTTACATTTGCCTTCTATATTTTTGTCTTTCTTATTCTTTTTTGTACATACCTTTTTTGCTATTTTTTTAAACAAAAATTGACATTTCCCGGACGAAATTGGGTTACTACACATATACATAACACTTACGACTTGTTTGAGTAAGTTTCTTACAATGCACTTATAGGAGAGAAAAATATGAAAGAAAAATGAAAGGAGTTTCTCCATAAGTTAAAATTAGCTTACTCATAAGCTAATTAATAGAAGCTATCTTTTATTGACTTTTCCAAAGTCTTATTTTAACGTATGCATAAGCTATTTTTGATTTATGGAGAAGCTTATATTCCTTTTTCTTCCTACTTTTCTCTTTTAAAAGTGGTTATAGAGAAACTTATCTAAACATGTCCTAAGGGTCTTAGAATATGGGTTTAGACCTAATTCAACCCTGCAAAATCGGCTTGTATGATGAGGGTTTTCTTTTCACTTATATACTATTTGTTTGTCCTTTCTCTAATCTCTTGGAACTTGAGTTTTTCTCAATACATTCCCTCAAGTCTAACACTATTAGACTTGGTGTATGGATAAATGGTGAGTAACTATTTTTAATGATTAGGACAAACGAGACTTTAGTTTTATCCAATACACCCCCTCACGCAACACTTTTAGGCTTGATACATAGATAAATTTGGTGGGTGACCCTATAAAGTGAGTCTAGGATATTTCTGATACCACCTTAGTATGTGAGTTTAGGCCTAATTCAACCTTACAAAAATGAGACAAAGATCATTGGATCCTTATGTATAAAAAGTAGGAGTGGCAATGAATCCATTTATTCATCATCCATCATCCATTCGATCCATCAACAAGTAAATTTATTCGATTCATCAATTACAATAAAAATAAAAATAAATTGAATTCAATCCATTCATCGAATTTTATGGATGGTTACTGATTCATCCATTACTTTTTCAAAACTTCCGATCTTACTACTAACTATTTATACTTTTAATTTATATATTTTGTCTCTATTGATAAGAAAAAATAAAACTTACAATGTAAAATAGTTAGTAGTACACAAGACTTGTTGAACAAAGAGTACAACAAAGATCTATTAGAAGAATTTTACCTCTAACACCAAAAAATCTCTTTAAATACGTATGTCTATTAAAGTAAGATTTTAATGTTTATAGGGTGTTGAACCTGCATTAGGAGAAATGTAAGCTCAAACCATATCCCACACATTTGTTTTTCATTTATACTTTTAATTATATATATATTTTGTCTCTGCTGATAAGAAAAAAATAAAAATTACAATGTAATTCTAGTTGAATAAATTTTGTTATAATTAATAAGACTCTCATAAAATAGTTTGTATCGAGCAAGTTAAAATAATCAATAAAATTTTAATATTATAAATATTTTTATCAACTAAGTAATGACATATAGATACTAAATAGTTACAAATACTCGAGTGACACTCTTTGTTTTTTTTTTTTTGAGTTGTTCTTTAACTTTAGGTTATTCTGATTTATAATAAAAAAAAATACTAATAAAAAAAAGGAAAAAGAAAACAGAAGTGGAATGGAGAAATAGAAATTACCCGAAGAAGAACAAGATGGTGGGAGTGGTAGTGGCGTGGTGTTGAATGAAGGAGTGGGGATTTATAGAAGAAAGTGGCCCCATGATAACAGAAAAAGTGCTCAAGGAACATCCTTTAGATTCTTTCCTTCCTCTATGGCTTTCAACTATTGTTGCAATGGTGAACGACTTGGGTCGTCAACGAGGTGAAAATGAATCCAAAACAGATAATATTGCTCCAAGTCAGGTTAATATATTAATTGGCCAATTCATCTATAAATGTATAAAGTATATATCATAATATAATATAGAACTTATATAGTAAAGCTACTTTGTCGCAATATTCGGCGCCACCATCTTATATAAACTGTTTTTTGGGTATGAATTTATTGTGTTCGACATGTCTTAGATTAACGAATCACGACCATGTTCGAGTTTAATTAAGGTTTGAATTGTATCCATAATTCTCCCTTTCTTTTTTGTATGGCCGACAAGTGGTGGTGATGGGTCATTAAGAAGATACTGGACAGTCACGGGCTAAAGTCACTTTGAAAGAGTGACACATAACTGATTGAAATAATTGGTACACCACGAGAAATTAATGTTACACATGCAAAAAAAAAAATTTAATTAAAAAATAATATATGAAAATATAAATCTATATGATATATAATTATATAAAATTTAATATTATTTTAAATGAGATTTAAAATATATATATATTATGTGTTATTATAATTTATATTCATATTTTTTAATAATATATTAATATGTATTATAATATAGATAAAATTAATTTTTAATAATAAATATTATACCTTCATAGAATATGTATCGTTAAATAATAATTCTTATTAGTGGTAATTTGATATCACAAGAAGAAAGATAGAAAAAAAACAACAAAGAGTGTCACTTGAGTATTTGTAACTATTTAGTATCTATATGTCATTACATTAGTTGATAAAAATATTTATAATATTAAAATTTTATTGATTATTTTAACTTGCTCGACACAAACTATTTTATGAGAATCTTATTAATTATATCAAAATTTATTCAACTAGAATTACATTGTAATATTTATTTTTTTCTTATTAGCAGAGACAAAA